AATAAATTTAGAAACAATTATTCTCTTTATGCATTTAATCTGTTAACACACACATTTAAACCTATTGACAATCTATGTATACCTTAATTCGTATATTTCAAAACAGTTTAATAATAATTGGACTGATTGATGATATTTAATACAAAAATTATATTTTATACGAATGTGAATGTTAATAATATATGGTTCATTTGGTATTAATAATTTAACAAATAACATAAATTACATTTTAAATAATAGTAATAATATTAACAACGATAATTGTAGTAAATTGATAAAATATATAATAATATTATTTAATGTAGAATACTTATTAAATAATTTTTTTTTATTTATTTATTTATTTATTTAATTTTGTTCACATAGCATATATGAGAAAAATTCTCACCACTCCCCTCCCCTTCAAGATAAACAGAAGACTATTGGATAATGAAGAAAGGTAAAATACCAGTTTTTAATTTCTTTTTCATAACGTTATCTTTTTTATCCATTAGGTGTGTATGTATGTGTGTGTGTATGTTTGTGCGTATGTCGTCTAAGGTCGTTTAACATGTCACAAAGTTATTATCAGATTTTCATATCGATCAATGGTTAAAAAGCGTGCAAATAGATAAGAGATAAATTACAAAAACAACCTATAGATAATACAGATAGATAAATTTAAAAATATTGATAGATAAATAGATGGAAGAAAAATTTGTAGAAAATTCTGCAAATCATTTGTTCCTAGAAATCCTATCCTATTTCAACAACAACAACAACAACAACAACAAAAATAAAAGAACAATGAACTCTAAAACTTTACACCTAGCAAAACAAGATTCCTCAACCATTTATAGTTTAAATTTCAAACGAATAATTTAACAATAGTATTTGGTATGTATGTGGTTTGGTATGTTTAATCATCCTTTTAGTTTATTCTATATATCCTTTGATGGTAGAATTTTTTAGCAGTGATTTGTATTAGAAGAAAAAAAATATGACTGCAAAATATTAATTTTTGTTTCTTTTTTTTTTTTTAATTGTAAATGCATATAAATATATAAATATAATTTATGTATATAGTTATTAGTGAAATATAAATTTATTATTATATTTAAATATAATAATAAAATAAATTAAATTTATAATAAAATAAATTAATAAAACAAATTAAATTTCAATAAAATCTATATAAATTTATTGTTATATATTTAAATATAATTAATAAAATAAATTAAATTTACGAAGAAAATTTTTTTACACATTTTTTCCAATTTAAATTTACGATAATTATTTAATTGAGAGGTATGAATTAATAATATGTTGTTATGTACTAATAAATATAATTATATTTATATATTTTCTTTTTGTTAGACTTTGTATCGATGTTATTTATGAAATAGAAAAATTGAACATTTGGATTTTGATTTAGTTTGTTCTTTATTTATTTATAGTTTTCGATCGAATCATCTATTCTGTATGATCTTTGTCCTTTTTTGTTTTTTGATCGAAGTTCAATGAGCGGTCAATAACTCCTGATGATCTATTGACAAGAGAAGGAAATATTAGGTTGAGTGCCCCTACCATAAACCATTTTCTAATCCCCACCACTTTTCCTAACTTTCTTTTTTCCCCAAAAATTTCAGAGAAACTCGTGAGAAGTTTTGACCTACGATCATCATTTGGAACTCTGTACTGAACCTGAAAACAACTCTTCCTCGAGTATTGATTGATTCATTTTGACAAAGACACTAATTTATCAAAAAAAATGAGTAAGTATTATATATTCAATAATAATTAATTTTTTTTTTTATAAAATAATCGGTTGAATGTTCTTGTATTTTTTTTTTTTGTTGCGAATATATATAGTGAATTAGTATAATTATTTTATAGTTTAATTAGTTATTCCACGTGTCAATGAATTTCAGAGAACATTTAAAATTTTTTTCTAAAAATAATTAAAAAATAATTTACTAACTATTATAAAATATTTATATTAATTTATATAATATAAAAATATTATATTATATTATTATAATTTTATATATATTAAATTATTATTTATTATAAAATAAAATTAAATATAATGTATATAAGTATGTATATTTTTATATAATATATATAATATAAAATAATAATATATATAAAATAATAAATATTAATAACATAAAATAAAAATAATATATATATATATAGTATTTTGAATGACATTTTCGATATTAGTATGCAAATGACCAATACGATCTGATCTTTATTTTAATGGTATTTTTTTTATGGTCCAATTCCTTTTAAAAACCCATAAGAAAAATAAAACCTACTATGCCATTACAAAATAGAAGAGATAAAAATAGGAAAAAAAAATAGCAAATATATATCTTCGAATGCTATTTAAAATGACCCACATTATGTAATCATTGTTTATCTTATTTTCGAAAGTGAATGGTAAATTTGAATGTTAAGATTTCGAAATGTAAAAAGAAATCTTCAGACACCCGGTATACATCAGGTATGAAATGAAATTTTATCGCGATATAATTGTATGAGTTCATTGACATCAATCATTTTAAAACCTTTGATTATGTTTCTTGGTTTTCTTTTTTTTCTTTCTCTTCATTTTTGATTTGCGTTGATTACGATAACGATTATCACACAAGAAGTTAATCAGATGATTGTGTACGATTGTTAACTTGAATCATTTTTAAAAGACCGTAAGATGTCAATGTACTCTCCGAGAAATACTGAATATTACCGACCTCGACCAGTATTTTTACGTAGGTTGACAAGTGATAATTAACAAACACAAATTTTTGATAATTCATGATTTTTTAACGATTAAAAGATTATTCCATACATCTTATGTATAAATAGTTGTTGTACGAATTTCTTCATTACTTTTGATTATCGTTGATCGAGTCAAGAAGAAGAAGAACAAAGTTAGCACGTGGTTATAGTATTGAATTACATTTTTATTCAATCATTTGAATATCAATGGAATCTACAAGCTGTAAATTGTTGACAAATAATTCTACGGAGGATTCATCCGATAGTACGTATTCATTTGCATCTAAATTGCAAACTGAAAAAGAGAAAAAAAAATAAAATTCGTAAATGTTTTTGAAGTTAACGCGTACTATATATATATTTTAATAAATATATTTTATATAATATATAATTTTTAAAATTTATAAAATATATTATAATATATTATATAAAATTATATTATATGATAAATTATATTAAAATAAATATATATATTTAAAATAATATATAGTATAATATATAAATAAAATAAAATAATATACAATAATAATATTTATTAACATTATTTAATATTATTTGTTATAATATTTATTAATATTATATATAATAAATATATAATATAATTACATATAATATATTATAATATATATTAAAGTATTATATAATTATATTATATATATTAAAATAAT